ACAATATGCGGATTTACAGTGGCTTTCCATTAATGTGTGAGCTAGATTTAAATAAATAATTTTTTGTACTAAAAATTAAATAAAAATTTTTTTTAATTATTTGTTTTTATTTTTTTTATTATTAATTATACACAGTTTGATTTCTGTTTTTGTTTGCAATCTAAGTAGTTGTTCCGCTTTATGGTGTACACTTACGTCTCTTTTTATGCGGCTTTTTTTATGCGGATTTGAATTTATGTGGGTTTTCAAATCATTATTTCGCAGTAGCGATTTTGCTTTTTTGAGAGTTTTTATTACTTTTTTTCAATGTGTAAGAGACAATGCTTCTGATAAACAATTTGTCTTTGTATTCTTACATAAGTCATGTATTTATTGTGATATTTTTTATTTGTTTTTTTGTTAAAATAGATAAAATTTTATTTATTCCATTAATGTTCAGCTTTACATGGAATAATAAGTGTTGAAGTGAAGAAATAAATAGTTTTTTTTTGCTTAATAATGCCTCACTGGATTATTTTATGCGGTTTTTTAGAATTTCTTACATGGACTATCTGAATTTATGCGGTTTTTGAAATTGCTGGAACATTTTGTATGAAAGTAAAGAACTTTTTTATGCAGATTTTTTCTATGCGGCTTTCTGAGGAACGCATGTACCGCATAAAAAAAGACCTAAGTGTACACTGTAAATCTTTGAGAATAGAAAACCCAAAGCTGTAGAAGGTACGAGATTTTTCATGACTGTGTACATAAAGTAGTGTTTTTACAAGCGTTTAATTATTTAACTTGCTCTGTATTTATGCATGTTTGTTTGCATGTTTGTTAGGGGCAAATTTTGCAACCAATTTTTGACCAACTTCCCGATAACCTAGAGACTTGAAACATCAGATTTGAATCACATTTTCAATGTTTGATAACCCCGTATTTATAGTCCAATTTGCATTATATATTTGAACGTACATTAATTAAATGAAAAGGTTAACTTATTTTGGGTGTACTATGTAATTTTTAATCAGGCAACCTATTACACTACACTACATATTTTAGATGAAATTCTATTTGCCCTAATACAAGTCAGTTCTGGATCCGCCCCTGTTGGAGACTAATGAAAATTTGTAAATATGCTAGAACTTTCGTCTATAGGGATCAGCAATGTCTCGCAGGTTGGCTTGACATTAGCTTGGTGTAGTTTCATGATGAGACCGGATTTCAGTTTCAACATAGACAAGGTTTTTTTAACATGCAACATCACATGTTTACATCAAATCTTCTGCCATCTGTAATTGCGCTGACAATCGTTATTTCTTAACCTGAGCAAACTACATATCGTACCAACCAATCAACTTGTTTATTCTGATACATACTAACACTACATGTTAAATAGCTACATTTTCTTTTAGTGTGTCATTTTTGTTACTTAGAGTTTTAATTTTATTACTTTTTGGATCCGCGACCTTTCAGTCACTGAGTTCGTGCAGGCGGCACGCGTTTTACGTTGTAACATAAATGTTGTCTTGGTGTATAGTAACTCGGCATTTGAACATCTGTGGATGAAAAGAAATAAAAAAATGTTAGTTCCACTTATGTAATAATTTCCATATTAGTAGCATTCTTGTACGATCACGTTTTGGTGTTATTGTACCCAAAAAACTTGCAAGGCGAAATGGAGACTGCCAGGCGATATTTCATTTTCAGAAGTTGCTAGTTTTAACTTGATAAGTTTTTACTTGTAAGAACTTGCCAGTAGCGAAGACAGCTGATCGCATGTTGCCGGGTGCAATTGAAGCTTATAAGGACTCTATTTATGGGGTTTCCATGATAATTAAATTAACTTGATAAACCCATTTTAATATAAATATTATATGTAATACTGTTTTAATAGGAAATTGTTGCCAATAAACAACCAATTCATCAGCAGTTGATGAAGCTCCAAACTGTTACTGGCTTTGTGTTCACGTACTTTTTTTTTTGATATTTTTCTCTGTGAGAGCGAGTTTTTAGAAAAGATGTTACTAGAGAGTAGGGTAGCCGGATATTTTAGTGGCATAATCAGTACAGTTTGGATCAAAAATCAGTGCAAAGCCATAAAAATCAGTTCATTTTTAAGCGTCTTTTTCGTTTACTAACAATATAACAACCAAATAACCGCGCATTAATTTAACATAACTAGTAGACTTTTAAATACTTAGAGTATTATCATTATAAATAGTTTTAAGCAAACCAAAGGTATTACGTATGTGTGCACAGTCGTGTATTGGTAAGTTTTGAATTGGGCGTGGCACCTCCCATACAAACTGAATTTCTCACACCACATACACATTCTAATGTGAGAAACTCAGTTTGTATGGGAGGTGCCACGCCCCTTTTTTCAATAACACTCCATTTTTTCCATGAGTTTGGCGTTGATCTCTATATATCTCTATATCTCTATATCTCTATACCAAGTTGCAGCGCTCTACGATGAATACTTCCAGAGATATGTTGTGTGAAAGCTTTAGTTTGTATGGGAGGTGTCACGCCCCTTGATATAGCGAAATTATTCTTCCTCTATTATAATCCTTTGAGGGTCTAGAGTCGATGTCCAAAATTTCAAAAATATCGGTACAACTCGAGGTTTTCGATTAGAAAAAAACGGCTTTCAAAATATATATCAGTACAGATGGCAAATTAAAAATATTTTTCAATTAAATGTTTCCTATGGAAAAATGTGTATAAATAGTTTTTTAAATAATTGCAGGTATTTGAAATTACTTTCAAGCATTTTCCAAAAAAGTGGAAGCATTCAAACGTGAAAACTTTTTTTCATTCATTTTTCAACATAAAAAATCAGAGCATTTTTTAAAAATCGCCACGGATAGATCGACGCGAATGTTAATTAAATTTTATTTAAAAAAAAAATAAACTCAAAATCGGTTCATATTTGGGCTGTCAAAATTGATTCGTCCACAGCAACATTTTTTGCCCACTGTGCGCCGTTCAATTTCGGTTGGTCCCATATAAGGCATAACAAGGTAGAATTGATTTCGACATTTCTCTCTTTTGAACTGCGACTAAAATGTCAACTCTTAACCCTATACTATTCAAAATTTTAATTTTTTTAATATAAATTTTCAATTGTGAGCTGTGCGACTGATTTAAAATACATAATAAAATGAAGAGGAATTACTGTTTGACAAGAGCCAGGACAACAAACATGTGCATTATTTTAAAACTCCGAAGTATCAATGCTTCATTAGGAGACTCTTCACGTGTTCGCGAAGACCATTTTAGTGCCAGTGACTTTATTTGCTGCCCATCGCAGCCGGGTATTTCTAAGCGGACGCGTTTGTTCCCAGGTGCAGGAACTATTATGCCGAATATACATAGACCAAATTTCAAATGGTGGTCTAACAAAACCTAAACCGGAATTCCTTGTGGACATAAAGAAACTGAAATTAACTTTTAATAAATTAATGGCAAGGAAATTTCGAATTGCAAAAATTTAATAGCTGAATTATTGAAGTTAAGTTCTGATGTAAATTTAGAATAATCAAACCTTTTTTTAAATGTCTAATATACTTTAGAATTAAGTATTTGAATAGAAAAAATAAATGCTTAAAAACATTGGGCTAGTAAAAGCAAGAAAATTGCCAAAATGGGTTTATAAATGAGTGTGTTTCACTTAGTGTGTAATTTTGTGTAAGTATGCATTTCCACATTTACATTAAAACGAAAAGGCAATACCTTAAATGAAGCTGATTCTAATGAGATTTTAAAAATGTTCATATCTACAAAAACTTTCATTTCAGAGATATTAGCCCGCAGTTATAGTCAAAATCTTTTTGAAAGTTATGTCAAAAAGCTGCTTTTAACTTTAGGAGTCGACTTTATTTTGACTATAGCTACGGGCCGTTGAGTTTTATCAAATATGATAAATGCATAACAAAGGGATAATTTCTTTGTTTACATTTTTTGACATTACAGCCAGCTATGAGAGAGCTCGACTGAATTGTCACTTCTACCTTGTTGAATATGCCTTGGTCCCATACAAGTTCTGTGTGCATGAGAAATGTTTGACAGTAAATTGGCGGCGTGCGTGAATATTAGGTTAGCCTGTTAAACTGTCTAGAAAATTTATAAACATTGAAAAAATTTAACAAAATGTTCATCAAAATATCAACTTTTTGATCAAATTTTGTAGTACGCAGTTTTTTAACCCATTCAATTTCAGTAGAAGGCGAGCTCGAGTCAGAATTTGTTTAAATATTTTAAGGTTAAAATGAAATATATTTAGTTGGTGTGCTTATTAAATATAACATTCACATTAAAATGTTGACTGAAAGGTATAATACCGAATTTTCGCTAAACGAATTTTCGAGTATGAATGAAATTGAATAGTTTGTCAGTTTTGTTGTGGCATATTGTTATTTATTGCAATAGTGTTATTGAGGAAAATTTGTTGGTTTTCCTTACAAACAAATCGTGGTATAAAGCTCAATAACACTATTGAAATAAAATTAATATTGTTAAATGTGTTTGTGCAAGTAAATTACAGGTGGTCGAACATCAAAAATCGAAGTAAAGCTACATATATCATATCCAAGAGTCGGTAGATGGCACGTATCTTTTCCAAATCTTTAGATCCTTAGATTAACAAGTTTTAAATAAGATCAGATGTACACCGGCTATTATGTTGTAATGATCTTAGTCTTGAGTAAGATCAGTTATAAACCGGTTATTACGTTAATAATACGTTTAATAGTTTGAGTACGTTTAAGAGTCCTGGCAAGGTTGAATAGAAAAGAAAGCGAACAGAGCGCGAGCTTGACTCGGCCATTTTGTCAAAGGCCGCTGGAGAGAATATACGTGTTAAGAAAAATAAAAGTTTATATCGGCTAAAATGTTAGCCATATGCTGAATAAATAAAGTAGAATTATATCTCAGGTGTGGGGTACAAACCATCGCCAATAATTTAACACAAAAATTTTTGACAAATATCAACAAAAACGCGAAATAAAACAGAAATGCGCCGCCACCTAAGTAGCATATACTTTGCACCCGACGCCTCAATGCAGCGCCTAAGAACCCTATATGATGAAATTAACATCGGCGAATTGGAAGGACTCGCCGCTAGTGAAATGGTGGTGCCAACTCCTACCACCCCTGCTGCATCTACCGTTGCACCCTCGACCGCAGCCATTACTGTTGCACCTACCGCTGCTATTATCGTTGCACCAACTGCTGCCATTACTGTTGCTTCCTTTACCGCCAACACCGCTGCCAACATCGCTCCCCCTACGTCCGCTGCCACTGAAGCCAATACAACCTCCACGTACACCTGGGAAAATAGCGACATACATAACACAGCCGCAAATTCCGCCGTAACCCCCGCTGCCCTATCGGCACACACAGTACCCAGCACCATACCTGCCGCGATTACCGTTACCACCGCCGCTGTGGAACTAGCTAGGTCATCAGCCAATGCCAGTTTTGCCGCTACTTTCCCGATAAGAAGGACCCGCCTCCATTGCCACGAACTACCGCTGTAAACATGGAACTCAATCAGCTAGAAAATGAAATTAAGATCTTACAATTCCGGCGCGAGTTAGCTGAACTACAGCAAGACGCACACCCATGGGCCAATCGACGTATAAATTTCGAGGAACTCGAGGCTGCCGTACCCAAATTTAGCGGCGACAGTCATAACGATATAGACAGGTGACTGGGGCAGCTCGAGGATTATGTCGAAGTAAGCGGGTATGATGTGCTGGATAAATGCCTTGCACTACGCCTGGTGGGAACGGCAAAAGATTATGTTAATAACATCGGTTAAATCCGATTTATCCACTTGAAAGCATCCCTGTGCAAGATGTTCCGTCGAACTGTCACGCGACCAGAAATATATCGCCAACTGCGGCTCCGCCAGCTGAAACCTACCGAAAGTTGCATAAGCTATGTCGTAGCCTTGCAATCAATCGCTTCAAAAACTGACATTGCCGAGGAAGAATTGGTGGGCATCATAATAGACAACATCCCAGAATCAGAAACAACATCAGCATTCTGTATGGTGCAACATCAATCGAAGATCTCATCCACCGAATGGACCGCAATGAACACCGCCGTATGTAGGCTGCCTCAAGACAAGCCGGTGCTACCTTGTACCCGAAGCTGAAGCCGACGCCTACCCCTACCTCGGCCACATCAGTCGAGCTGTCATCTGTGAGGTATTTCCACTGCTCCAGGTTTGAGCACTACAAAAGCTCGTGCCCCGGGCCGTTGAGACCCAAGGGCTCCTGCTTCAACTGCCACCGGATGGCTCATCAACACAAGGAGTTCCCTAGGAAAAGAAGAGTTGCTTACACCGCATCCATCTCAACGGACTCACCTGGAAGTGAAGGCTAGACAATGGGTAAGTGTGGCTTTGAGTAAACCTAATCGAGTCAGACCCGCGAGTTTTATAAAAATGTTTTCTATATTTTATTCCGGTAGTCCGATTAGTCTGGTGCAACGTCCGGAAACACCATCAACCCTCTCGCTGCCACCAGATGCAATCCCAACCATATGTGTTGGAGTTGGCAGAACTAGGCTTCTTTCATACGGTACCCACCTATGTGCGGTGAAATTCCGAGGCAAAATCAAATCAGTCCCTTTGAAGGTGGTGCTAGACGACACATTAGTAAATTCAATAATCTTCGGACGGGACTTTATACATAAATTCAATAAACAACTCGTACAAATTAAAGAAAATAATGAAGTTATGTTAAATAAAAATGTATATCTAAAGTGCTACAATGAATTAAATAGCACTCAAAATAATGTGAGATCTGAAGTTCAAACTAAAAGAAATAATGCTGTGAACACATAAAGGGCTCGTGGTGTGTGGAAATATTTGCAGTTGCGTTCCACAACCCTATCGTGCACGGCTTGTAATTTTTTAATGAGTGGGCGAAGAAGACGAAACGGTGTTGGCATTTTTTGAACAAATGTATTTTTTTTTATACAACTTCTTTCACAATATAGTTTACTGCTACAATTTTGTGATGAATACTAAAAGTATATAGCTTTGAAAATTCACAGCGGGAAATTTTTTTAACCTTTTTGTTTTGATCTTTTCGAATTTGAATTTGTAAGTTTTGAAAAAGTGTTAAAAATGTCTTGAACGAACTGTTATAACCTGGGAACGGATTTTATGGAAATTGCCTTTTTTTGTGCTAAAGAGATAGAGTATATTCGATTAAGAATGTTCACGATTTATCTTTCCCTGATTCCATTTATACATATTTGATGCTGCCCTTTTTAAGATATCTGCCTTTTTTCCTACTGTCCCTTTCAAAAAGTGATTATAGCGAGGAAAGAGCTCTTATTCCTGATATAATAAAGGCTTCAAATTTTCAGTACATTCAAGGTTGTGTTAAAGCCTGTTCTATTACAAAAAAAATCAAGTTGATAATGAAGAAAGTCGATGGGTAAATAAAGAAGTAATAAGTGGTCATATGAAAATGCGCAAAGATTTTTTGTATGAACAATTTGCAGGAATGATGTTACTCATACGCCATATACACCTGAAAATTTCTCGAAAACTTATCCATGGAATAAAAAATTAACTCGATTTTCGGAATCAGCAAACAATTCTATATGTGCATTGGATATGTAGTGACGTCCGTCGAACATTTTTCCTGTAAACCAGTGTTATTTTTTAGTTTTTGTCTTTTTTTGTGTCTTCTTTTGCCTTTTTTTGCTATTTCTAGTGCCTTTTCCTGCCTATTCCGTTATTTGATTTTGCCTTTTTTATAGGTTTCTAGGTCCTAAAATACTTTCGAACCAATTTAATAATCGTAATTCGAAGTAAAGCTAATCAAATTCTCCATAAACCTTACATACATCACTCTTCGACAGTCCGATAGTCTCTGAGTAACTAATTAATAATTACTGATTTCTTGTTTTTTGATAAAAGTATTAATATAATTCAAATTTTAACATGAGAATTATAAAATAAAACGATTTTTCTGTAATTTGTTTATTTTGTATGTATTTGGTTCCTTTACAAAAAAATGAAGCTACCAGTGAAGAAAATTAATTAAATTAATAAATAAAAAAGGTGGCGAAATGAAAATGCGCAAGGATTTTTTGTATGACATATGAGCAGAAAAGAGTGTTACTCAGGTATACATAGCGTATGATTAGCCTTCTTTTCTGCTCATTTTTCATACAAAAAGCTTTGTGTCTTTTTTATTTGACCACTCATTCCTTCTTTCCAATCCAAATATGATGCCTCTTTTTCCATTAATAATGGCTTAAAAATGCTTTTGCTTAGGAAGTGTACCTGAAAAAATAAAGTTTTTTTTATAGATTTCGTACTGGAGGAACAATTTCATTTCCCAACACTGAGGCGAAATGTAAGCACACCTGCCAAATTAGAAAATAGAACTTGCTCGGCTACAAGTTGGCGTGCAATCAAACGACAGCCTGGGCTTGTGTTGTGGATTGTGTTCAGTTCATATGGTTTACACCATGATGCAATAATGAAAGGTGTTGTGTAGGTCAATATTGTATTTTGGAAGTACAAGAAAAACAGGAAGAAAAAAAGCCTTTTAGTTGAAAAAGTACTAAATTTTATGCCTTCTCAACAGCGTTCCGATTATCTGAATAGGTATATATATGACTTGGTAGTCTCATAAAGTTGTAGATACTTAAAATAATAAAATTAGGCGTGTTTTTATTCACAGGAATATGATAATATGCTTAAAATTTTTGAGCTGATGAATACCCAGCTAGAACAGTATGGCATATATAATTCTTTATATAAGCCGCATCACTAAGAAAATTATCCCTTATGAATTTGAAATGTTTCCCTTATATTGTACAGGCCAAATAGAGGAATTCATTGACGTGTGATATTTTGTCCCCCTCTATCAAATGGGTTTCTTGTGCTCATATATCAGGTTTGATAGCTATTGACCATACCAATAATGCCTCATACTCAGTTTTACTAGATCAATTCGTGTTCTCGAGAAAAAAAATGCCACGATTCAAAATCTGAGTATAGTGGCCAAATTTTTTTTTCTCAAAATTTTGAAAATTCTTCGTTTTTTGGCCTATATTTGCTTTGTATGGTATTTGCCACAAAATATAGGCCAAAAACGATAAATGTTCAAAATTTGGAGAAAAAATATTTTTCAGATTTTTGGATCGTGAAATTTTTTTTTCTCGGAGAACACGAATTGATCAAGTAAATCTGAGTATGAGGCATTATTGGTATGGCCAACAGCTATCAAACCTGATATATTCGCACAAAGGTTTTTTTTGTGTTCCACAGTGTTATATAAGGGATACTTTGAGGAATCATATAAACAATTATACATTACCCAAGTTCACGTGCATCCAAGTTCGAGTCATACAGCAAGCATTGACTGCTTTTCAATGTTTTATTTGTTTGTTTTTGAAATTAACAATATATTTCATAATTTATAATTAATACGTTGTGTTTTAGTAAATCCACTTTGATTTTTCATTGTACAAAATGTATTATATACATACAGTATCGGTCATATTAGTAGCAACCCCATTTCAAAGTGATATTATTTCCCTCTCATGTTAATTTATTTCTAAGAATTTGCAATAAAAATAAAGTTCAATTTCTAACAAAACCCATATAAACCCAATTTTAAAACTTCGTAGAAAACTACAAAAAATACAACAAATTTTCACCCAAAATTCACACTTTTTTCTCAGAAGTGTTAGAATTTTTTTGAGCACTCAGTTTTATAGCCCCTTCAATTTTAGTCTTATTATATGCAAGTTTAAAGTGGCTAAAAATTACCGTTAATTTTTTAGAATCGATATAAAAACAAATCGTGTTTAATCGTCTTCCATATACCGAAAAATGCGACTATACAGCGTGGCGACGAATAACTGTTACCCCGGTTTTTTTGAGAAATAAAAGGGTCCTTTATAGATTTTGCGAAAAAAGTATTTTATTGTCAATTTTCCACAGATTTTACTTTAGTTGTATTAATTAGTTATTAAATTTTAATCCCTATTTACATTTGCCAGCAGTTTAAACTTTGAGAGAAAAGTTCATTTGGCACGCAAGTCTTTTTCAGGTGTATTTTTTCTTAGGCTTTGTATAAAAAAATACAAAAAAGAAAAAACCTGTATAAGGTTGGTCAAATGAATGGCCGTCCTAGTCACCAGTTCCGAGTCTATTCGATTTTTGAGTATGAGCCCTTATGTCGAACAAAAGCGGGAGTATAAGGGACTCAAAATGGACAAAATTTGCCTATGGTTACAGAAGATATGGAATAAATTAACTGACGAAAACCTGCGTGCCAAATGAACTTTACTCTCAAAGTTTACACTGCTGGCAAATGTAAACAAGGATTAAAATTTGAAAACTAATTAATACAACTAAAGTAAAATCTGTGGAAAATTAACAACAAAATACTTTTTTGGCAAAATCTATAAAGGACCCTTTTATTTCTCAAAAAAATCTGGGTAACAGTTATTCGTCGCCACGCTGTATATCGATGGCTGAGTGGAATATCGACCT